AAATTGTTCATCTTCACATTTTATCACTTCATTAGGAAAAGCAACCTGTATTATCCAAGTTCAAGACTAACATCCTACAGGAGCCATAAACTTTGATCTTGCTAGATTGATCACTGCCCTTTATCTTCTTTCTCATAAATACAGAGATAAAATAGAGACTCAGCTGGATGCACCCTTTAGCAATTATTTCCCCTATGATCTTAACACTAGGATAACAGGCCACATGTGAAAAGAGTTATGGACTCTGATAAAGATTCTCAGTACAAATTCAGTTTTACTGTATTTCATTCTGACATTTCTTACACAGGTGTTTTTTTGGTGACTTGCTTATTTAAAAGGTGCCGCTTCTTATACATGGCTAACTATTAAACTTTTTGAAGCTTTGGCTTTATTCTGCTTTTGCCATGACATAACTAAAAAAAAAAAAAAAAAAAAAAAATGGTGTCTGCTTGAAGTGATAATTGCATCATTTACATACTGTGAAAATTCAGGAAGGAGACAGTTCTATTGTGCATTCCAATGAAAAGATTAGACATGAGAATTATATTTATTAGGATATTTATAAATAAATGCTCTGACTTTATGTCTTATATGTCTTGCCAATATTTATTATAGAATCTGAGAATATGAATACTTACTCCTTATTCAATAGGAAGAGAATCCAGTGCCAGGATGAGAAAGCACTCCGCAGTTTAGTTTTGTTTCCCTGGTCAATTTTAATGTAGCTTTAAAATCCACACTAAGCTTAATATTTCGTACTCCTGTATTTCACTCTTAAGGTTTTATCTCTAAATAATCATTTTAATTTTACACATATATTATATTATTGTCTGAGACCATGTCTATGTCTTTCCCAAACTTTGCTAACAAAGAAACTTAAACTCAAAGAAGTTTTACATTTACTTTACCTGAACTTAACTCATAAAGTATTATTAAAGTATTTCTTCCCACTCATGACATTTTGTCATATTCATTTATACTGATTATTTTTAGTATTCTATAACTAATCTGGAATATGTAAAAAGGTCATCTTTCCTAATATGGATATATAAAGCATCAGGCAAAAATGGCATCTCAAAACACAGTTCTGAAAATAAAATAAATTACCATAAAACAGACACTGGTTTTCAGGGTCACAATACCTCATAATCAAATTTTTTACTTGAAAGGGGCACTTCCTTGTGAGTTCCTGATTTATATCATCCAGAAAACCTCCCCACAAAGGAGAATGTTTTTCATATTTTTCTTCCTCCCAGTTAGCTATCCAGGCTCATCAACATTTCCTCTTGAGCACAGCAAGAGAGATTTCTACTATAATATAATGATGTCCATCATCAAAAATTTCTACAGAAATATAATTCAAATTGTTAGATTATAGTTTTTAGAAGTGTAGTTCTAGGAGTATAAGATATTCCATTAAAGAACAGATTATTGACTTTATAGTCAATTAAGCAAAAATGTGATAACATGAAAACCAAATACAAAAGTGAGAGAAAAATACTTCTTCCCCAAATGTATTCTTATAGTGAACAAAGGCCTGTTTCAATCACTATTTCTAGGAATACAAAGAGGCGCAGAGATTTTATTTTTTCTAAGTCTTCCTCAGCTCCTCTCCCTCCGGCTTGCAGTTCTCAGAATTTACCAAGAATGCAACATCTGGAGATAAAGGGGAGCTGTCCGAAATAACCCGGACTATGTCCTTATTCCTCTCAGAACAGGATGTTTTGCAAACCTGAACTCGGTGTGACAAGTTGTTTCCAAGGTGTAAAACCCACAGTGGAGTGCTCTCAGGTCCCTTAGCAGCAGTGTATTGTGAGGCATGCACAGACAAGACTCTATTCAACCTAGGCAGTTTTCCTGAACCTTGGAGCTCAGCTTGCAGTGGATCCTAGGGCTTGTTTATCCCTGATGACTATTTGCGAATGATATGTACACTTTGCCTGACTTGTTGTGCCAGTATTCTGTCTCAGCAGACTCATGCAATTGATAGAAAACCTTTAGGGTGAATCATTGAAAGGAAGCAAGAATGGAAATTATAAGACCTCATAAGGCCTCACAGTGAAAAAACATAATTTTGCAACTTTGTGTTGGTCTGTGTGAGTCACAAGGCCAGTTCAGTTATTAGGAGTGGGAAAATGGCTACTCAGCAGCAATCAACTTACTGGGTTGTAGACATAGGAAAGATGATTTAGTCAAGACCATTATTGTGAAAATCTACCTTATCTGCAAAGAGTATTATTAAATTGATAATACTCTTATAAGCAATGGTAAAATTTAATTTTACTACAATTTTGTTGTAACCTCAAGGGGTAATACTATTTTTTATCACCATTTATTTTCTATCACCATTTACATTTTATCACCATTTATTTTCAATTTCTATCACTTGAACTTAACTAGCACTAAAACCGTGTAGTGTTTCTTTTTTAAAAATTTACCTATCTGGGTGATAGACACTGTTTTAACAATAAATAATCATGAAAATTGAAGTATATAATTAATAATTTATCATGGAGAACTAAAAATTGACAAGGATAATCTACAGAATTTTGTGAAATAAAAATAGATCTACTTTTATCACTACGTGGTACATTCCGTCAGAAAGTACTTATGTGAAAGTTTGCTAAGATTATAATACAGGATATTGGAATGAGAAGAAAGAGCTTTCATGAAAGAACAGTTTGAAGTGAATTGGAGAAAATTTTCAGAACTGTGCAGTTTGTTATAATTTGTACTGTATATTTAGTCAGATTAATTTATTTAAACATATTTAGTTGACATAAAATTGTATATATTATGTACACATGTATATATTGCATACCAATTGTATGCATAGTGTATGTATAGTATATATTAACGCATCTATCACCACACACACTTACAATTTGTGTGTGTGCATGTGCATGTGTGTGTGTTTGTGTGTTTGTGTAGGATACTTAAAATTTTCCTTATCAAATTTCAAATAAACAATACAATATTGTCAACTATACTCACCATGATCTTTGTTAGTCTCATAACTTACTTACCTTACAACTGAAAGTTGACCAACATTTTCCCAATCCACTTTTCCACCAGCCCCTGACAACTACCTTTTTACTCTCTGCCTTTATGAGTTCTATTTTTTTCAGTTTCTACATAAAAGCGAGATCACGCAGTATTCATCTTTCTCTGAATTGTTTTACTTAATAATTGTTGTTGCAAATGGCGGATCTTCTTCTTTGAGTGAGATTTTTGAGATATCTAAATGTAAGGGGAAATGAAAGCGTTACAATTTCTGTTATTTCTGAAGGTAATATTTTTTCTGTATTTTTAAACATAAGAAATTTACGTATTATAAATTACATCCAGGAAGTTTAGTAGAGGGTGGGTTTAAAAAAATTGTTATCTACATTATTATGCTATTTAATAATTATTACATATATGCATTTAATAGAACTATAAGAAAAGAGAGATTATCATCAAATTTCATAACTCTCTTCACGGTTACATAACATTTTTCTGCTTACCAATCTTGCTCTTTCTCTAGTTCAGAATGTTGATTATTTCATGCTGTTAAGAATATTTGATCCAATCCCATGATCAGCAAGACCTAAGAGAAAATGTAAAGGATTGTACCAATGCAGAGGCTGGTGCTCTCCCACTGCCTTTTACTGTTTATACATTGCATTTCTTGGGTTTCAAAATAAAAGACTTTACTCTGTCCATAGTGTTCATTATTATTATAGATTTTAATAATAGAAATGTAAAGATTATATATATAATGCAGCCCCAGATTTGATAACACTAATATAGAGTTGATAATGATTAAAAATGCTCTTTTTAAAATATCAGATAAGATGTACTGATGAGTTATCACTCACTTTTAATGATTTATGTGTGTCGCACTTATGAACTTCCTGAGAAACTAAAGTTCTCTCTGATACATTCTTATGACTGACCTGCAGATGGAATATAATCAGTCAAAAACTTGAGCATTATTTCCTAAAGAAAATCAATATTTATTAAGACACGAGTTATATAGTGTTACAAAATAATTTTAAATTGCTCCTTGGAAAAACAAAGTATATTGTTAGAAATTGAAAATGATACTGAAATTTTAAATTACAAATAGAGTAAAATTGATAAATTGAATAATTGCTTAAATTATAGTGAGTATAATATCATGAGCCCACTTCAATTTTTCTATGGTCCGTAAAATTTCTCTTGGAGTCCTATCTGCATGAGGGATTGAGGAAACTCCCCAAAAACGTGGAACACATAGTGAGGAATGTTTTCTATGTGCAGTGCCTTAAGCTTAAGAGAAAGAAAATGAAAGATATTTAACAGACCATGGTGCGTGTCATTTAGGATAAAAGTCTCCCACCCATTTTCCACACAAATACACACATTCTTCACCTCTAACTCCCTAGGGAATAAGTAGAGTGACTTGTTAAAAAGAACAGTAAAAAACAAAACAAAACAAAAAAAAAACCAAAAAACTATTTTCAAACCAAATAGCTGTGAGAAGACTCCAATAACAACTCAATCTTGCCTTTGTACCAGAATAATAAAATGTGTCACAAAAGTGGAAACAGGAGTTCTCTCTCCATGGGTAGGATGAATTCAGGGCAGGACAGTGAGGTTGTCAGGTTATTTCTGTGATAATAACAGAAGGTAGATGCTATACTACAAGTGTTGCTTTCTGTAAAAACACGGTTACTGAGCAGCATCTAACAAAGAGCCTGATACCTATTAGTATTTAATTAGATATGTATGTAATCAATGAAACTGAACTGATACTGCTGCATATCCAAGTTTAAGAAAGAGATAATGATTTATTCAATTGCACTAACAATATCTTGAGTTGTGCAGCAGTGCAGGTGGTGGGAATTGTAGAATTTGTATTTAATACTTATGAATAAAGTTAGTAGCTCCGGAATGTAACTCTGGCAACTTTAAAAGGAACATGATTCAAAAGCATTGTAATAACATTTAGTTTCCTTTATGATCATCTTTTTCAGGTATCAAGAATGGTGCTTCCTTCATGAATAGTACAGACCTTGCCAACGGATGAAATTGACAGAAATAAGAGGGAATTATTAAATCTACTTTGGAAGTTAAGAGAGACCTTTCTTAAACACACAATAAATGCATTATAGGGGCTCAGATGTTTCTGGGAAGATTGTGAAGATATAGACTGATTGGTGTTCATGTAATTGTGACGGTAGAGACTGAGAGCAGCAAAATATTATGTATGCAGTTGACATCTTATACGAAGAATTTGGAGTATGGACATTACATGATTGTCTCTCAGCCACCCTATGGAAAACTGAATTGTATGGCTGTACTTCCCTGGAATTTCAACCCGTAAATTAAACTCAATTATTTGTAGCCGAGGTTCTTAAATAAAGCAGCATTATTTAGAATTATCTTTGAATCGTTAAAGATATACTGATGTCCAGAACCCATCTTCCATGATTTTGAGGTGAGGCCAAAGCATGTATTTTTAAAATTCTCTCCAGATAATTCAAATATGCAGCCAGGTTTGGGAACCACTTACTTGGAAGAAAGTTTTTATGCTACAGTGACAAGAGTAGCACATCTTGGTCTTCTGAATTAATCTCACTGACTAGTACTAATGAGTCATAATTAATAAGAACTTTTAAAATAGAACTTTGTTTGGATTCATTAAGCAAGTAAGGTTATAGAGTAGAGATTTCTATCACTAGTTGCCTTAGTTTACAGGTAGACTATTTCTTATAGAGAAATTATATGGGCTCATTGGTATACTTCTTATTGAGAAAACTAAACGTTAAAAAATGTACATATTAATAGTCAAATGCAGGAGAGGCTTCATGATGGCTGACTAGAGGCTTCTGGTACTTACCTTCTCCATAAAGAAGAAACAAAACAGCAAGCAGATAATTCAAATATCTCATATAAGACAGGACACTGGAATTCAACTGAGAAGTGATACAAAAAACCTTAAGCGAGGAAGGAAACAGAAGTGAGGCAGCCTGACTGGCCAGGATTGCCTAGAAGCCTGGAGAGGTTCTCAATATGGGATACAGTAAGTGAGAGAACTCCAGAGGTCTATGTTACCACAGAAAACTCCTGCAATTCCTGCCATAGGAGAGCCCCTTGACTCTTCTGAGCCCTGAGACTTAACATAGGAAGGTGCATGGGAACCATGCAATGACACTGCTTCAGAGAGGGAGCTCACACTGGGTCCCACATAATTCCCGTAGTCATAAGCAGCTACAGCAAGGCACCATTTCGAGAAATAAGCCCCCACCATACTTCATTTTGCCCTGGGGACTAAAGAATTCTGCATCTCCACATCCTGTGGGCCCCACTGACATCAGTTACCTGCAGCCACCATTGTGGTTGGCTGCTGCTTCCAGGGCTGAATCATGAGCCACTTGCAGTGACCCCTGCAGCAACAGAGCCATTCTGCATAAACGAGGGACCTGGGAACAGATTACCTCACCTGCAGTCAACAACTGGGGTCTTAGTACATGTTCCCTAGTCACCTACTTATGGTTGCTGGCATTGGAAGGAACGTTGCTCACTTTCCTCAATAGCAGGGACATAGCACAGCCACTGCCACCCCAACCTGAGCATTCCACTGAGGGAAAGGGGATAACACTGCACCTGTCTACCACAGCCAGTACCTGCACCCACCAACATGAGACCTGAGGACAGGTGCACCTGGCCCAGTTCTGCCCATGTTCTGTCCCCATCAGTGCCAAAGCATGCCATCTAAGACTTGGGGATAGCCCATCCAAGGCAACATGGTTTGTACCTGTGCATTCCTCACAAGAACCTGAGGTTGGTACCACTCTACCTGCCCTTATCAAAGTAGCTGGAACCCACCTGCACATGCCACCTGCGGACCTGGGGAGTGGCCCACAGAGCCACCACCAGAATCAGCATGGACCACTTTTGACAGTCAGAGGGTTATCCGACCATGTTATTGCCATTGCCTATGCCATGCATTTTGCCCAGGGTCACAAGCACCCACCCATCCACCCCTCGCATTACTGCCACTTCCAGCATCTAAGCAAGTGGCCCAAGAATCAGCTCACCTGACCAGGTAAAACCAGTGGCAGTGTATACCACTCAAGGGCCCAATGACAAGCAGCCAGCCACTGAAACCACTGTGGCCTGACAAGGGGCCCACCTGGCATAACAATTCCCAGTAAAATATTATAATAACCTGCATTGAAACTGCACCTTAAGCCATTGAAGAAATCACAGCACCAATAATACTGTTTATAGTTTAAGAAAACACATGGAGATGACACTACTATACGCATCCAGAATCAAAGCCAATGTACCCTACCCACCTAATGTAGTTTGGATATTTGTTCTTATTAAATCTCATGTTGAAATTTAATACTCAATGTTAGAAATGGTGTCTAATGGGAGGTGTTTGGCTCATGGGGGCAGATGACTCATGAAAGGCTTGATGTCCTCTCTGAGATAATGAGTGAGCTTTCACTCTATTCACACAAGAGCTGGATGTTCAAAAGAGTCTTACACTTTCTCTTGCTCTCTCTTGCTCCCTTTTTTGCCATATGACACCCTCCTCCCTCCCCCATTTGCTTTCTGTCATGATTGGAAGTTTCCTGAGGTACTCACCAGAAGCAGATGCTAGTGCCATGCTCCTTGTACAGCTATAGAACCATGAGACAAATAAATATCTTTCCTTTATAAATTACCCAGTCTCAGGTATTACTTTATAGTAACACAAATGGATTGACACCAACTACCATAATAGATACATCTTCAGAATAAAGCCCGCACCTATGAAAGCAACTTGAAAACATTGGAAGAAGCAACCCTTACACTTGGAAGAAGCAAGCACAGAAATCAATGTAAGAACACAAACAACATAAAAAATATTAAGGAAATATCATACTTTTCAAGGAACACAGTATTTCTCTAGCAATAGATTCCAATGAAAAATAAATTTATGAAATTCCAGAAAAAAATGATATTAACAAATAGTGAGATACAAAAGAACACAGAGAAATAATACAAATAAATCAGAAAAGCAATTCAGTGCATAAATGATAAATTTATCAAAGAGATAGAAATCATTAAAAAGACCCAAACAGCAAACTTAGAACTGAAATAGAGAAAAATAAAGAATACAACACAATAATAGGAACTTCAACATCTCACTCTTAGCATTAGGCAGGTTATCTAGACAGAAAATTAACAAACAAACATTGGATTTAAGCTGCATTTAAATAAAAGGACCTAACAGACATTTACAGAACATTTCATCTAACAGCTGTAGAATACACATTATTCCCAAAAGCACATGGAACACTCTCTAGGATAGACCATACGATAGGACACAAAATAAACTTCAACATGTTTTTTAAAATTGAAATCATATCAAGTATCTTTTCAGATTTAATGGATTGAAACTAAAAATCAGTAACAAGGACTTTGGAAACAGTTATATAGCAATTAAACAAAATGCTCATGAATGATGACTGTGTCAATTAAGAAATTAAAGAGGAAAGTATCTTAAAACAAAAATCAAAATACAACATACCAAAACCTACGGGATACAGAAAACACAGTGTTATGAGGAAAGTATATAACAATAAACACCTAAATAAAAAAAGCAGAAAGAGTTCAAAAGAATATAGTGATGTGCCTAAAGGCATTATTAAAACAACAACAAACTAAACTAAAAATTAGTAAAAGAAAAGAAGTAATAAAGATGAGAGAACTAAACAGAATAGAAACTAAGAAAAAAATATAATGGATCAATGAAATGAAAATTTGTTTTTTTAAAAAAACCATTAAAATACGGTTCTATGCTGGAGTAACCTAAAGAAAAGACCCAAATAAATAAAATTAGAAATTAGAAAGTAGACACTACAACCAACACCACAGAAATACAAAAGATCATCAGAGACTATTGTGAACAGCTATATACTAACTGACTGGAAAACCTAGAGGAAATGAGTACATTCCGAGATGCATACAACCTACCAAAACTGAATAAGGAAGAAACAGAAAAGAGGAACATATCAATAAAGAGTAATGAATTTAATCGGTAATAAAAAGTCTCCAAACAAGATATGTCCAGGACTAGATGACTTAATTCCTGAAATCTATGAAACTTACAAAGAAAATCTAATACCAATTATCCTCAAACTATTCCAAAAGAATTGAAGAGGAGGAACTTCTTAACTAATTCTCTGAGGCCAACTCAACCATGATACCAAAACCAAACAACGATGCAACAACAACAACAACAACAAAAAATACGAACCAACATCTCTGATGTATATAGACCAAAAATCCTCAATAAAAATATTAGCAAACCAAATCTTTCAACACATCAAAAATATAATACACCAAGTTCAACTGGGATTTATCCCAGGAATGCAAGGATGGGCCAACATATGTAAATTAATCAACATGGTACATCACATCAAGAAAATGAAGAAGAAAAACCATATAATCATCTCAGAGATGGAGAAGCATTTGATAAAAGTTAACACCTCATGATGAAAATGCTCAAGAAACTAGGCATAGAAGAAATGTATCTCAATATAATAAAGGCCATCTATGACAAATCCACAGCTAACATCACACTGAATGAGGAAAAAGCTAAAATTCTTTCCTCTAAGAACTGGAACAAAAAAAGATATACACTTTTACCACTTCTATTCAATGTTGTACTGGAGGTGCTACCCAGAGAAATCAGGCAAAGGAAAGAAATAACAGGTATCCAAATTGGAAAAGAGGCAGTAAAATTGCCCTTCTTTTCAGACAACATAATCATACAGCTAGCAAAACCTAGAGACTTCACTAAAACATTGTTAGATCTGATAAATAAATTCAGTAAATTTTCAGGGCACAAAATCAACACACAAAAATCAGTGGTGCTTTTCACTTTTCTTTTACTTTTTCTTTCTTTTCTTTCCTTCCTTCCTTCCTTCCTTCCTTCCTTCCTTCCTTCCTTCCTTCCTTCCTCTTTCTTTCTCTTTCTTTCTCTTTCTTTCTTTCTTTCTTTCTTTCTTTCTTTCTTTCTTTCTTTCTTTCTTTCTTTCTTTCTTTCTTTCTTTCTTTCTTTCTTTCCTTCCTTCCTTCCTTCCTTCCTTCTTTCCTTCTGTCTTTCTTTTTTTCTTTTTTCTTTTTTTTTGGAGGATCTTTCTCCATCACCCAGGCTGGAGTGCAGTGGTGCAATCTTGGCTCACTGCAACCTCTGCCTCCCAGGTACAAGTGATCCTCCCACCTCAGTATCCTGAGTAGCTGGGACTACAGGCATGCACCACCAGGTCTGGCTAATTTTCTCTACTTTTAGTAGAGATGGGGTTTCACCATGTTGCCTAGGCTGGTCTTAGATTCCGGGGCTCAAGTGATCTGCCTACCTTG